TTCTTGGGCACTTAGGACCATTTTCAACCGTAGTTTTTAGCCCTTCTGCCCTCATATGAAAGCATAAATGTGGCAACTCGAAATTTGTCAGGTTTTTCGACAATGTTAGTTAGAATTTCATAGCCGTCCCACAGCTGCCTGAACTTTTTCCAGTTGGTTTTTAGATCACCAGTCACCTGCAGTGGAGGTGGAAGTGGTATGTGTGTGGGAGTTAGCACCGTAGTAGTCATGATAGCAACTACAGTTATGCTACGAAGACAATAATACACTCAATGGAGGACTAGGAGCCTAACAATCACATGTCACAACGATCTTTCAAGTCCAGTAACAATGTGATCAAGGCCATTATATTTAAGCAGAAATATATCGAAAATAAATCGTGGACAGTGTCAACCTCAGATTTAAGTTAAGATAATGGTAGGCTTACGACCCTTATATTTGCAAACTAGTATGTAACCATTCCATGGCACAGTGTTCAGTCTTTCGACACAGTTCACACACATGCGAGGTGAGGCACGTGGCAGACCCTGCTGCGATGTGCAGGATCGATGCTGGAGAAGTCGCCGTAGTTTTGGGCTGATCTAGAGTCCAAATCGCAAATTTCACGCGTGAAGTGGGAGAGAAGGACGTTACCGTTCTGACACCATGTAATAATTCGTAGGTCCTCACAAGATGACACTTGATTTAGGCGATTTAGTTACATGTAGATCTGGATTGTACTTTATTCAGTGGCCATTAACTTACAAGTTTTCTTCTAAACTCATCGATAAAGGGTGCTAGACCAGTTATCGTTACAGGTACCGGAAGCACTGAGCAAACCTTTTGAGCAAGCTGTTCCGGTTGAGGGTCCCGGTTCTCAATTTCTCTTTTGATAGGCGACAGTGCCGAGCCAGTTCCATATACATGTATGAACCCGTTCAATGGTACCGCTTACACGATCGTATTGGATGTATCGGAATTTGGATGCGCCCACTGTGGATGAATGACCAGTTTATACATGGTCCATGGCTGCATTTACGATATGTTGGCACATGTTCAGTAAGTACACGTGATCCAGTCCATACATTAAGTGCCATGGCATGGTCGACGATTCCATTTGTATGGGTAAAGTTACATGTACATGTACTTAGACAATGGTGAATCGGTTGTTGTACTGATTGGATTATTAAATGAATACACATGTAGGTTGAATAAAAAAAAGTGCTGGAGGAAGCACTGCCGAGTTGTACCATGGTTGCACATACATATTGCACATTTATTTCCACCATCACTAGTCAACGTAGAGGCAAAAATAAAATTCCAAATACCCACTGTGAATGATCTTAATCCCACTAAAGATCAAGAGCCAGTTCGTGCTGGTCATGTGTGGCACCAGCATGAGGCAGCACCAACAGATTTTTAATGTGTTAATTAAACCCTATGTTTTTCTTTATATCTTTGGGAGCCGGTTCTAACTTGGAAATGCCATTGGCTGGAGCCGGGGCCGGCTCTGAGAATTCTGGAACCGTCCAAGCCTAATGTATACAGGCCCAAGATTCAGGTCTGGGTATCTGACACTGATCACGGTGTTTTCCGTGGAACAGGAATAGTCTGTTGCCACTGCGCATGAACACGAAGGCACTCTCACATGCATGCCATGTAAAATTACGTTCCTTTCCACTTTCAACGTCTCATTCTACTCCATTTCGGAACAAATCTCACAATGATTTTGACCAGCTAAGAGTAAGATTTTTAGTCTATGCACATCTAAGATATTGTTGCATTCCCTAAAAATCAAGTCGATGGTAGCATGGACTTTACTAGTTTTTACAGGGTGTGACATTTGGGGTCAACAATTTATTAAAAGATGGACGGGAAACAAGGGGTTTGGATGACAGTCAAACTGTGTAGTTGGTTTATTGCTCTCACTTCTCTTCATCAAAGTTCAATTTGGGTTGAAGAAGGCGTAGCTTAACATACCGGTAAACGCAACACATAAAAGGCAAAGTTATAGAGAGGCGAAGTTGCATACAAGTATAACTGAACTGCGGTTTGGCAGGACCATTGAAAATACAAGTCAGACGGAGTAGGTACGGTACGGATGTGTAGCATCGCACAACTAGGCTACAGTCACCAGGCAGTGGTGGGAGCTGTCCCAGGCCACCATGGTGACTAGCAATAGCTGGACGGGGCCACTCAGACCGCAATATGATGAGCATAATAATAGAATTGCCGCACTATGTACCATTGGCTCAGTGTAGAGACGGGGAGGACCGGGGCTAGTTAGCAGGACAAGGGTAGCGAGGGACACGGGGGTGTCTCGCCTGATAATCGGTTCGGACGTAGCAGTTACGGGCTGCTACAACTCCCATTGGCACCCAAGGCTAGTTCGTACCACTCTCGCATCAGTCCAAGCTAAGTTAGCTGGGCATTCATATGGTTACATTTCTTCGCCATAAGAATGGTTACTATCGTACTTCTCTCGGAAAGGGTCCAACCTCTGCACTTCGTCAGGTTTTGCTTTTGCAAAAAGGGTTTGGTCTGCTGCAGAGATTATTGGTGAAAGTGTAGTCTTGAATGCCCATAACAGAATGACTAAAATGAACCGTAATTTAAGCAAAGCTAAAATCTTGTGTTCACACAAAATTATTTAATGTGATATTAGACGGGTTCAATATACATGTATGAAAGGGCACTTTTTCGCAGGGATCAGAGAGTTGACATTCTTTTTCCCCTTAGCTAATTATACTATGTAAGAAGAATTTGGAGATGATCGGTTTTAAACCTTTAACTTTTATTCAATACACATCACAGATGATATTTTAACTTGGTGGTTCTACTAGACTGCAAAGCTTGTAATTCTCCCTATTTTCAAAACAATAACTCTGCAGTCATGTTCTTGTAAATGCTATTTTATGACTTTAGTGCATAGAGCCGATAGGTCTATCACTGGTAACCATCCTCTTTTTTTTAATGATGTTTTCTCTTCAGTGACCTGAACAGCACACCTGATGGATGTTTTCCATGGACATGAAATCAAAGGGTTTTTGCCAGAGAAGTCAGTGGATAGGAACACAAGTATGTATTTTCCCTCGAAACGAGAGATCCGAGTCATAAATTGCTGTGAAATTCTATTAATTCAAGTCATAAGTACTGAAGTAACTCGAGGAAGTGTATTTTATGTAGTTTACTCACACTTCTTCAGCTTTAAAACCAAACGGCAACAGCAGAGCTGCTTAGCAGGGGAGAGGAGCTTATTTGTCCAACAATTTGATTATTCTTCAGAGGAAATTATTAATTTGGGTCTTTGAGATTGCACTTTGTTTAATTGTAGATCTGGATGTATGAGTTGAGGCTATATGCTCTTAGAAGTATGCTCATATTTTTATGCTCCAAGTACATGTACAATGCAATGGCACTAATTCCAAATGAAGAACTTCACTTACATGTACATGTATGTACTTTGCATTCCTGAGTCTCTGTCTAATTCATTGATTGTTCGTCTGCAGGTGTTAGGTTTTTGGCTGCCGTTTTCACCTACTCTTTCAACTAACAAGATGCTTGTCTTGACACCATTTGTACAAACCTTGTTGGGTGATGCTGAGGTACTTCGAGCTGGATCGCACATTTGAAGGAGATAAGATGAAAGTGGACTGCCTGATGATTCCCACGTTAACTCATAAGGAAGTGTAAAGACACGTTGCTCTACCTGTGTGTTTCCATCTAATCACATTGACTCTGGGTCTGTGAGATGAGTTGAAAGAGACAATGCATGTTGCTCAACCTAACACTGTGTTCCCATTGTGAGAAGGCAAGTTGCTGTACCCAAAACTGTTTTTAGTGGATCACTTACATGTGTACATGTACCTGTGGTCTGCGAACAGAGTTGGACACATCATAACTTGACACATACTCTACATGTACATTTACGCAGATCAGTTTTATGCACTGCCTGAAAGTGTGGATACAGTGAACTTTTCTGAAACAATTTTTCTGTAACTTTGTACAGAAAAATGTATGTAATTACCATTCCCATATGGTTAAATGCATTGAAAAGTGCACTTTTTAAACACTTAAAATTATCCATGCTTTCCTGGACAAGTTAGGAGATTGTTGCTGTGATGTCATTGAGGGAAGACGTAGTTTAGTGCCTAAGTTTTCTTGCTCAAGTCGTGAACCAAAGTTTGCTCACTAAACACATTTCTTAGAGATTGGTGCTTGCATATTGCTATGGATATAAACAACAATGAATAAGCACAGAAAATAGAATTTAGTCCAGCAAAATCTCCAAAATGCATGACTTTTCGTGTACAAACCAATGTAACACTAAGGATTTTGTTCCTGGGATTGGATCACAGTTTTGCTCATGCATATGGAAATATTTGTCAGCGTAAAAACAACAAAGCAGAAAATATCCTTTGAAAGAGTGAAACAAATGTTGGAAATAAGGTTAACTTAGACAGAAAGTTGGAATTTGGATTTTGTATTAAAACAAACTGATTGCAGCCACCCTTCATGGTGAAATTATTAATTAAGCAAAATAATTCGGGAGATTTGTATATAATAATCCGACATAGAAGTTTTGTGTTGACTAACTTTTAAATTGTAAAATTTGTAAATATTGTATGTGGCCTGGGAATACTTCTTTTTACGTTGTACACATTTGACAGAACAGTGTTTCATTATTAATTGTGGAATTTAATGTTCATTTTTCACCATTTGATTTTATTTTGCATGCTGAGTATGTTGGAAATTTGTATTGTCATTGAATTGTCATCTTTCAGGGTATGTCTACATCCTGCATCTTGGCTGGTATGACAAGTGTGCTAAAATGACAATTTTGCTGAAGTTATCAGCTAAATGTATATGAGATGAAATTGCCACAGAGAACATCAGTCCAGAGTATTACTATATATGGGCATAGTAGTCTTTCCCTACTGATCCAGCAATTTTTGTTCAGATCCAACTCTAAATAGCTCAAGTTGGCAACGACGATTTTTAAATCTTATCGGTACATGTGTTTTAAAACTTCTAGTTTATGTCTGTATTCAGGTTTTTTGCACAGCCAATCAAATTTTTGCAACTGAAATGTTTCGTTAGTGTTTTTGATGATATAATGCATCGTTTAAGAAAAGCACTCCGTAACATGGAAACGCATTTACAATCCGTTGCAGGCTGGTAGTACAAGCCTTGTGATTGGTCAGATCACATGAGATTTGTGTTGTAATAGGCTGCCCAAATATGGTATTACTCCAGACTGAACATATTAAATTATTGCTGCAAGCAAAGTAAACCTTTACCCTATTAATCATGGCATCACCAGTTTGAGGCTTTATTATGCACACATGTTTTAAGCGCTCAACATGACTACAAAGGTTTGATCAGTATGAATGGCATGTTTTTTATTTAAATTAAATTTCTTTTTGAATCTTTCAAGACTTGAAAACCTTTTTCATGTTATGACTGAAAGTGTAACAGTAAGTTGCAGTAGACCAATAGACCGCCCTGTTAGTGTGTGTGCATAAGACAGCCTTTCATTTCAGAACCAATTCACTGTAATTACGGTTACCTTTACTGTTTTAAAAGTCAACAAATTATACTTTTCAAATACATCTATGTACAATTTGCATAAATGTTTAATAGAGACCTCGAACAGGGCACCTTTAGGTTAAAGGTTTTTCTGAGACACCCTGCAGTGGTGCAACTTTCAAATCAAATTGTACCATTGATCGCAGTAGAATTTAAGGATGAAATTCCATTGGGTCTTTCGATGATTTTTGGGTGTGTTTCGTAATATTTTGTGGTCAAGGGATATGGAGTCCTTCAGAATTGCTCTTTATACATGTATTAAGGTTTTAGCTCTTCTTAGTCAGTTATAGTTCACAGAACCTGATAATTATTGAGCACAATACCTTTAAGAAATATTGTTACAGGTATAACAAGGACACACCATTTCCATCAGTAAGGGTAAAAATTGCATTACTTTAATCACTTTTGCACCAGTTCCCCCAAACAGATAGCTCAGAGTTCAACACAAACCCTTACTCCTGTTAGAGAAATTCAATGTACTTATTAAAATTCTAAGAACATTCCACTGAACATACATGTACCAAACATGAATATTCCAATTCGTAGACTAGTTGTAAGTTTTAAAAGTTTGAGAAGAACTGTCTTCTCAGCTACCTTTTTGTGGGAAAAACTGGTGCTGCAAAATGTTGATGTTTTACAAAACGATTAACTTTGCCACAAGTTACATCTGCAGTACTGCTACTTGACTGGACAGCTTGTTCTTTTTTCCATTTTTTTAAAACCATAACGCTGCTGTTATGTTCTTATAAATTTTATTTAATGAGTTTTCATTACTTTCGTATGTGGAGTCAATAAGTACATGTATATCACCAATAAGTATATCACTGATAAGTAATTGCTCACTTGTTTTTATTCTCTAGGTAGGACAGTCAAGTCAGATCAGGTACTGTTCTCTGCGGCAACCTGAACAGCACACCTGATGGATCTGTGTCACAGATCTTCTTGTCAAGAAGAGTTTGCCAGAGAAATCAATGGAATTCAATGAGTAAGTCAACTTCTTGTATTTTCCAAACAGATCGCAAACAGATCCATTCCTAACTAGTGTAAGACTAGTTTAAAAGTAAAGTCCTGGATATATTGCAAGAAGTCCATCGTACTTGTATATTCAAAGAAGATTCCAGTGACAGATTTCTTGCCCCAGCTCTGAGGCTTTATGTTCAGTTTCTTAACTACATGTACAGGTTTAGACTAGTTTGCCGAGTTCCTGGCTACTTTTGAGAGATACTGGTGCTATAAAACACTAATGTTTTACCAAACCTGATTAAACCTGTAACAAGTTACGTTTGCAGCATGTTTTTGTTAGAGATGCCCCAAAATGCAAAAATGGTCTGAAATATTCTATAAACATTAAGTTACACTAACTTTTGCACAGAACAATTCAGTTACAGTGAGGGATACTTTATCCTGTCTACACATTTGCCAAAATGTCACAAAATATTTCTTAGCCTCATGGAAGATCCCAAATATATTTCAGTCAAATATGTATGGTGTTATTTAATGAGTGAAGTTTTGATTACTTTCATGCATGGAACCATCTGTAATTGTCCACTTGTTTTGTTTCTCCTTGTAGGACAGTCAAGCCAGATCAGCTGCTGTTCTTTGTGGCGACCTGAACAGCACACCTGATGGATCCGTGTCAAGAATTTTTTTGTCAAGGAGAGTTTCTAGAGAAATCAATGGATTTAAAAAAAGTAAGTCGGTTGTTTGTGTTTTCTCTCAAAACAAGAAAATAATCCTTTTGTGAGTTAAATTTTGCATAGTGACCACTGTCTCTGGAATAGACTGGTTCCTTTGTGCCCTTCATATCCATTGAGAACAGTGTATTTGTGCAAGGCGTCTCTTATGTAACTATAAGCAAAAACTTGCCCCGAATCATGAGGTATTAATTCTGAAATAACCTCAACAAAATATATAAGTAAGGTCTCCAACATCTCAAGCCTTAAATTCAACTAACAACAGTGGATTTCAGAGCATGGGAAAAGCTTATTCATCTTACAATGTGATCATTCGTTCATTTTGTTACAATTGCAGATCAACATGTACGTGTGCAAGTTCAGATTTCTGTGCTACCTTTATAATAATTTAGTTTATGCTCAAAGTAGAATGGAATGGCACTCATTTCAATTCAAGATCTTCACTAATTCACTTTTTATTCCTGAACTTTTTGGTAATTCAACGATTCGTTTGCCCACAGGTGTTCCAAGGTTTTGGCGGCTGTCTTGATCTACTCCTTGAACTACCAAGACATTCTTTATACAAACCTTGTTGGATTCTTATGAGGTACTGAGAACCGGATTGCATCATGTTTAAAGGAGATACAATGAAAGTAGACTGCACCATTCCAATATTAATTTATGAGGAAGTGGCAAGACATGTTGATGTATCGAACACTGTTCTTATTGGATCACTCTACTTTAGACCTTAGAGCTGAATTGGAAGGGACAGATCTTGACTTCAAACCTGAACTTTTATCCAGCTTACGCTGAATTGCATAACATTCAGTTATATGCGCTGCATATAAAAGTAAAAGTAAATCAAGCACAGTTAATAGATAGTTTCTGCATCCAGGTTAATTCGTGTCTGTATACGTATCCGTATGACACAACAAATACACAGGGTACATACAAGGTTGCAAAAATTTAGTTTGCCGTGAATTGCATGTCCCTACATTGCACACAGCAACGTAGCAACATTGGTAGCGTTCATTTCTTCAAAACAAAAATTATTCACCCCAGACAGACATTGCTATCCAAACAAGCTATACATGAAGTGTCATGAAAGTAAGAACTTTTGTTATTAGGGATACAATTTGATGCTAAATGTGGTGTGCAAAACCAAAACTTCATACACACCAGTTCCGTACAAAGTTGCTTCCAGATGTCACTGTGCAGGGCTTCTCCGCATTATGTTTAACAAGACATAACAGGCCTAAAGTGACGATGTCATAAGCAAAAAAGATACAGATGCTTGATACATGCTCATTTTCTGTTTGCCAAAACTGTCTATTTGGGAGGCTTTCGTAGAAGACTGTTATTTGCCAACACAAAAGTTTTGTAATAATGGGTCGTATGAATAAAAACTAGCAAATGCTATGAAGTTCAAGCAAACAGCAAAAGCATTTACTGAGAAGTACAACCATTAAGAAATAAGCAAATGCTTGAATTTATGTGAGTAAATTGTTTCTTTTACTATTCAGCATTTACTAGTGACCGCACAGCCGAATGGTTTTGCTCAATAGGGCTTCCGTTGTCTGCATGTACAGATGCACACATTGCAGCTCAGTGTTGTATCTTGAGACCTCAGCATGGCAGATAAGCATGATGGCAGTACTTTTGATTGCAGAAACCTTAATGAAGAAATTTGCTCTGCAACTCTAAAATCGGTGCAACTGCCTGCATCTCGTTTCTTCAGATTCCCTCCTGAAGGCATATAGCTGTTCCTTTTGAATGACAATCATGAATGCTGCCATTTTGAACATTTGTAAATGCTTCTCGTTTTCAAGCTTGCTCTTACCCAGTCTTGAAAAATATCAAGTAAATATTCCAATTCTGTAG